GCGGTTGTGAAAGAGCATCAGGGATTAGGCATTGGAACCGCTCTCTGGGATAAAGTCATTGAACATATGGGCGATAGAAATGCCTCATTATTTACGTCAAATACAAAAATGATTGAAATTTACAAAAATAAACACAATTTCCGTTTTATTCCCCAACGAAGACGACTGCGAATGAGTGGTAAACCTATTATTAAAGAACTGACGGCTAGTATTCTCGGCATATGTTTGGTAGACATGAATGATAACAATATCGCGGATGTGATTGAATACGACAAACTGGTCTGCGATGGACTCGACAGGAGTGCACAGCTCAGGGCACTCAACGGCTCGCTTAAAATCCAAAGTCTTGTGGCCATTGATGATAGCAAACAAGTAATGGGCTATTGTTTCATATGCAACCATGCGAATGGTCATTTATTAATTGCCCCGCTCTATGCCGATTGTCAACAAATTGCAGAGTTTTTAGTCCGACATTGTTTGCAACGGATACCCAATTATGAGACTAAAATGGTTTACTATTCGTGTTGGGATTCAAATCCAGAATCGGTTGAAATTGCAAACAAATTAGGATTAAACGAGTGGAATAAATCGCAGATAATGTTTACAAAGAAAGTGCTGGATGGGCAATTGCATAAAATCTATGGTATGGGTCGACCCGTACTTTTTCCCTTTTAAACATATATTTGAAAATCAATTTTTATTATATTAATTAACATACATAATAACAATTATATTTGTGCATAACTTTTTGCACTTTGTATGAAATAGATTGATGTAATTTTATAGAAATTAATAGAGCCCTGGTTAATTTTTATATATATGAATGATTATAGAAATATCGTTGGTATTAAATTAAACTATGAAATCATATTTAAAAATATAATCAAGAATATTCTATAATTAGGTTTTGATAATTGAGTAAACAATAAGAATAATTAAATATTAATAATATTTGACAAAATAATTTCTTTATTTGCTGTAATTGTAAAACTAATTGCAAAACTAAATAAATAGATACAGGGTGGGTTTTAAGTTTGTCTTTTTTTAAAAAGCTAATAACTCGTTAACTAGAAGAGATACTTCATTCAAATTTTTTGCATAAGATACACAAAAGTATAGGATGCTTGAATCAGGTTTTCAAAATTTTCGACATCCATGGGAATCACGTGGAATACCAGGGTTTCAAAAAGGCCACTTTTCGGGCAATTATGTCATATTTTAGAAATCGTCATTACTATGGATGAAAACAAGTTGAGCACGCATCCCATACATCCATTTACATAATTTAGCAAAGTGTTTTCCATTTTGAGTTAATAATTTAGAAATGGCGCGATTTTTAAAAACAAGACATACAGAATAAAAGTCGCAATGTTTTTTGAAAATCGCAACAGTTGCAAATTATTAATTCAAATTGGAAAAAACTTTGCTAAACTATTTAAGTGGATGTATGGGATGCGTGCTTAACATGTTTTCATCCATAGTAATGGCGATCTCTAAAACATGACATAATTGTCCAAAAAGTGACAATTTTTGAAACATTGGTATTCCACGTGATTCCCATGGATGTCGAAAATTTTGAAAACCTGATTAAAGCATCCTATACTTTTGTGTATCTTATGCAAAAAATTTGAATGAAATATCTCTTCTAGTTAACGAGTTATTAGCTTTTTAAAAAAAGACAAACTTAAAACCCACCCTGTATATTATTTCAAGGATATCTATTAAAAGATTTGCTTTGATTATAAGTGAAATGAATGGTTATACACACAAACAATCTATAATGTTCCGTAGGGGAAACGCCAATAACTTTTGACTAAGCAATTCAACTTTAATTATTCCAATTAGAAAAATGTTGCCTGATAATTCAGTAATCGAACCATATGTAATATGCCATTGTATCTATAATGGTTAAATTTATAGGTGAATTATAAAAAAAGAAATAATTTCCATTGAAAATGAATGGATTTTTTTGTACAATTATTGACTTTTTCTAGCTATACTTTTTTCGATTATCTAGAATCTAGATTTAATTTTTAAAACTTAACTAATTGAAGCTTTAGTCATACATTTGACAGATACTTAGGCTATTTCACAATTCATTTTAAACTACCTGTATTTTGTGGAACAGGCGATTTCTATAACTCAAAAACTACTGGGTCAATTTTAAAATTCTATATGTCAGAATGTTTAGATTTACAAATGAGTGGACACGTATTTTAGGATTTTTCTAAAAAAATATCTGGATTAAAGAATAGGTGTCTAAAGTGCATAAAATACTACATTTCATTTGCTTGCCAATTAAAATTTATCTGGTCATTTTTAGCGTTCTCTAGCTCAAATTGACAAGAATTATTAATAGAAAAAAGCAATTTCTTAGATTCTCAAAATTTTATAGTTTTGATGAATTTTTCATTAAAACAAGATTTGTATAATTTTTAATATTGCTTATAATGAAATGTCATTGACATTAGCCTTTATTTGTACACATTTTCAATGGGGTTTAATGGAAATTATTGCTTTTCTTATAAATCACCTAAAAACTTAACTATGATAGCTACAAAGGCATATTATATATGGATCGATTACTGAATTATCAGGCAACATTTTTCTAATTGGACTAATTAAAGTTGAATTGCCCAGTCAAAAGTTATTGGCGTTTTCTCTACAGAACATTATAGATTGTTTGTGTGTATGTTATATTACATGTGTTGTATAATGCTGTATAATGCTATATTATCGGCATTGAAATAATCTATGTACATCTATGTAATCTATGTACTAAAACATGCGCAAAATTAAGCAATACATTGGATGATGTAAAGACTTTATACTCAATTTACATCATCCTATTTTAGACTTGCATTTATATAACTTAGTTAATCTTAATTAATTAATTAATTAATTTAGTTGTTAAATAATATTAGTGTAACTATTGAGAAGAATGTCTGAAAAAACTATGCCTTTATATACTGTGCGGACAATGAAATTGTCGGACAGCGATGAGGTGTTACAGATATGGCTATCCATTGGTTGGGATTTATTTAAATACATCACTCATATGGTAATCATAACTGACCCAAACGGATCATATGTCGCTCAGGACAACAAAACGGGTACTTTTATAACATATTATTTTAATAAACAGTGATTAAAATATAAATATTATAATTACAGGCAAATTACTGGGAGTCTGTTGTAGTGTTAATCTATCGCCAGAGCTGTCATTTTTCTACAATTTTGCTGTTTTGCCAGAATATCAGGGATTAGGTATTGGATCCGCTCTTTGTGTTAAAGTGTTTGAACATATGGGCGATAGAAATATCTCAATATATTCTGAAAATAAGAAAATGATTGAGATTTACAAAAATAAATACAATTTTCGTATTATTCCTCAACAAAAACGACTTCAATTCAGGGGTAAACCTGTGGTGAATGAACTGATCACTAGTATTGATGGCATAACTTTGGTTGACATGAATGATAAGAATATCGCGGATGTGATTGAATACGACAAACAGGTCTGCGATGGACTCGACAGGACTGTAATTCTTCGGGCATTTAATGAATCGTTTAAAATGATAAGTCTTGCAGCCATTAATGAGAGCAATCAAGTGATGGGCTATTGTTTCGTATCGGAGACCGTTGCCGGCAATTTAGCTGTTGCCCCACTTTATGCCGATAATCAACAAATCGCTGAATTATTAGTGAAAAATTGTTTACAACGGATACCTAATTACGAGGGTAAAAATGTTCACATTTCGCTCTGGGATTCAAACCCAGAATCGATAGAAATGGCCAACAAATTGGGATTAATTCAATACCGAGAACTTCTGGCAATGTTTACAAAGAAAGTGCCGAATATTAATATGAATAAAATCTATGCGATGGGACGGACAGCCATTTATCCCTCATAAAATTTAATAAACTTTATTTTTCTTAATTTTACTCAACTATAATAACCTATCTAGATAACAATTGATTAACAGTGATTTTATAATAAAACCTTATAATTATAATTAATAATTAAACAAAAAGTCGTTTGATTCAAGTCAAATTATTAATTGGGAATAGCGTGTTTTACCATTTATAAATAAATATTATAATTTACAAAATACTTTAATTAACAAAATAACTACACATTACAAATCCAAAAATACTTATATATAATAAGATATCAGCTTTATAATTAAGCAATGATTTAAAAAAATTTACATTTATTTTATAATAATCAAGGTTCAAAAATAGGTATTTAAAATCTGCTCTAAATATTATTTTTGCTGTACATACTGAGTGACAGTGATTGTGGAACATCAAGATAATCATAGAGTAAATGATTTTGCATGTTTATTTATTTAAATATTAATTAAATTAACATTAAATTAATCTTCACAATATATCAATACTTCATTTAACCTTGATTGTAATTTCAATATACAATTGTTTCATATGAATTAACAAATAGATATAGATATAACAATTTATGTAACAAATTACATAACAATTTATTCTGTATAACAATATTCTACTAACGGCTTGTATATCTACCCTTCTCATACAGCAAAGCACACTTTCATTAGACATGATCATTATATTGAAATATTCATTTAATATTTAAGTAAATAAATTTTAATTTTAACTGATAAAGTTTTAATAAAGTTTTTAATTGATGTTTTATATGAGTTGATTGAAGATTTATACCCAGGTTTACAATTATGTTAAATATCTAAATATTTATACAATGCAACGCAAATGTAAAGAAACAATTATTTAATCATTAAATACATCACTGATTATTCTGTGATACAAAATTGTTATATAAATACTGAACATATACTGTATATTTTATTACATAAATATAAAGTTTCTGTATTCTTATCTACAATTGTAAATATTATATTTTAGTCAATATTAATATTAAATATTAATTTATTTGTTGAACATTATTATTTCTATTAAGAATAATGTCTGTGAAAACAATGTCTTCATATACTATACGGACAATGCAATTGTCGGACGAAAAATCTGTGCAACAAATCTGGCTATCAATTGGTTGGGATCTACTGGAAGGTGAACATGAAATGCTGCTCATGACTGACCCAAACGGATTATTTGTCGCACAAGACATTAATACGGGTATAATTACTGAATGATTATAATTTATAAACTATTATTCAAATAATTTTATTATTGTAATGAATATTTACAGATAAAGTTTTGGGAGTTTGTTGTAGTGTTAATCTATCTCAAGAGATATCATTTATTTATGAGTATGGAGTATTGAAAGAGTGTCAGGGATTAGGCATTGGAACCGCTCTTTGGGAGAAAGTAATTCAACATATGGGCGATAGAAATGTCGGATTATTAGCTGCCAATCAAAAAATGTATGACATTTACAAAAATTATCACAATTTTAGTTTTATTCCCCAAAAAAGACGGTTTCATATGAGGGGTAAACCTATTGCCAACGGTTTGACGGCTAGTATTTCGGGAATATGTTTAGTAGACATGAATGATAACAATATCGCGGATGTGATTGAATACTAGGCTTGCCAACTCGTCAAGGTTTGCCTTAATTGTCAAGGAATGGGGGGTTTTTGTCAAGGTGTAAGGCGAGGGTCATTCCTTGACATTGTAATGTCAAGGAATGTAAAAATCAAAAGTTCTGAACCTTTTTGATACTCTATGCAAGCATTTTATATAAGTGTGCTTTGGTAATAACCAAAATATGAGAATATATTAAATAAATAAATGTTAAAACAAATATACTTTAAATAACTATTTTTGATAGAAAAGTGAACAACTATTAAATAATATATTTATGAAAATTTTATTAAAAATCTGTAAAAAAAATTTCCTTTAAAATTTGTAATAAAAATGTTGGTCAAGGTAATGTCAAGGCGAATTATTGAAATTTTTGAAATTTTCAAGGAATGGATCAGATTGAGTTGGCAAGCCTATTGAATACGACAAACAGGTCTGCGATGGACTCGACAGGAGTGCACAGCTCAGGGCAATCAATGGGCCGTTTAAAAGCATAGGTGTTGTGGCCATTAATGATAGCAAACAAGTGATGGGCTATTGTTTTGTTTCGGACACAGGTCTTAATGACTTATTCATTGCCCCACTTTATGCCGATAATCAACAAATCGCCGAATCATTGATCTATAATTGTTTACAACGAATACAGAATTATGATAACAAAAATATAAATTATTCATTTTGGGATTCAAACCTAGAAGCAAAAGAAATTGCAAATAAATTGGGATTAACTAAATTGAATGATAATGCGATCATGTTTACAAAGAAAGTACTAAATGGTCAATTGCATAAAATACTGTATATGGCACAGGTCTTCCTATAGTTTATCCATTTTGAACGCTTATTTATAAATTCGTTTATATTTAATAAATTATTTTAAATTTATATCAATTTATATAATGTTTTAAATAACTACTATTAAATAAGTTTTAAATGTATTAAATGTGTTATAAATTGGCATAAAAATTCTAAGATCACTGAAAAGATATTAATGATTTAGTAATGATGATGAGTTATTTCAATGATATTTAAAAAATTGATTTTAAATGAATTGAATGTTTACACAATTTTGTTGGCATTGAAATACAAAGTACTGTATATTTAATGTGGATTTCTAAATGAAATGATTATATGTTTTTCAACTTTCCATTCAATGATAATTGTGTTCTTATTAGTGGTCTCTACATATAAGAACTAAATTACTATTTTAAATTTGGATGTAAAGCACATATATTAAATTTAATAATAAATAATTGTATATTTATTGTAATATCATTATAATAAGTATTAAAAATAATGTCTAACAAAACAATGCCTTCATATACTATACGGACAATGAGTTTGTCGGACAACGAAGAAGTGAAACAAATATTTGTGTCAATTTCTTGGGATATGTTAAAATACAACAATGAAATGCTGCTCGTAATTGATCCCGAGGGTTCAGTTGTGGCTCAAGATACTACTACAGGTATAATAACATAGTAAATATAAATAAATTTTAATTTATATTGACAATTTATAATAATAACCATAATTTACAGGTAAATTATTAGGAATCTGCAGTGGTTTTAATCTGTCTCCTGAGTTGGCGTATATGTGTGTATATGCCGTGAGACCAGAGTATCAGGGATTAGGCATTGGAACCGCTCTTTGGGATAAAGCTATGAAACATATGGGCGATAGAAATGCCTCACTGTTTGGCAATAATCAGAAAGTGAATGATATTTACAAAAATAAACACAATTTTACTTTTATTCCTCAACGAAAACTCCTTCGTATGAGAGGTAAACCTGTGCTCAACAATTTGATCACTAGTATTGATGGCATATTTGTTGTTGACATGAATGATAAGAATATCGCGGATGTGATTGAATACGACAAACAGGTCTGCGATGGACTCAACAGGAGTGCACAGCTCAGGGCACTCAACGGGCCGTTTAAAAGCATAGGTGTTGTGGCCTTTAATGATCGCAAACAAGTGGTTGGCTTTTGTTTTGCATCGGAGACCCTTTCCGGAAAGGGTTTATTCGTTGCCCCACTTTATGCCGATAATCAACAAATCGCTGAAATATTAATTGCAAATTGTTTACAACGGATACAAAATTATGCGGTAATAGATATTCGCTTATCATGTTGGAATTCAAATGACCAAGCTGTGCAATTTGCAAATAAATTGGGATTTAAACAATTCTATGAAATGCCGATTATGTTTACAAAGAAAGTAATAGATGGACAATTGCATAAAATGTACTCGGTAGGTTTTCCTGTAATTTATCCGTTTTGATGAAATGTATTTTAAAACGGTTTGAATATTATTTAAACAAACAGTAAATTTAATAAAAGCCAACAAATTCTATAAATGCAAAATGTAAAATTTATTATAAAACAAATTATGTTTTATATTTAAAGTTTCAAAGTACTCAATATAATAGCTAACATTAAATGTAACAAAATTTGTTAATTTGTGTTGTTTTTTGTGTTGTTGTTAATTTGTGTTACAACATTTAATGTTGTTAATAAATTAAAATTTTTGTAATTATCTAACAAATTGATCATGGTTATATATTGATGTTTTGTTATAACTAGGAGTTTTACTACAATAGTTCAATTTAAATCATTAAGAAATAATTTTAATATGTTTAATGAATTGACATAAAAAATCTATACAATAAATGAAACAAGGATCACACAGCGATGCTATACGTTAACCACTATTCGGGAAATGCATCGAAAGATTTTAAATTTTTCAATACTATTGTTAGAATACTTTCACTTTTATTATTTTGAGAATTTTAAATGTTTTTTACAACAATTAGTTCTATTTATTCCGGCAAATTCATTTATAATCCAATTGTCCCATTGATATACCATTACACATGTTATCTATATTCCATAGACTTATCATTGTCCATAGACTTAGCATTGCCCATGTAATTCCTATGCCATAGACTTAGCATTACCCATGTTAAAGTATAGCCATAGACTTATGCTGTAATCCCATAGAAACCCATGTAAACGCATTTTCCCATAGCAAAAGTGTCTCCCATGTTATCCTATGAGACATTCCCCATGTTAAGTATAGCCATAGGATTAACATGGAATCCCATGTTAAATCCCATAGGGTGGGGGGAGGGGGAGGGGGGCCGAACGATCATATAAACCACATTATTCATATCAGAATAGTGGTTAAAAATATTATTTCAATGATATTCACAAAATGCTTGATTTCCAATCAGTTGAATGTTTAACACTATTTTGTTGGCATTGAAATATACTGTATATTTAATATGAATTTTTAAATGAAATGATTATATGTTATTCACGTTTCCATTCAATGCTTTTTAGTGATAGTCTTCTTATTTAAACACTAAATTCATTTATAATTTCAAAATTATGTTTGAAATTATCAGTAATTTTGAATGTGAGTAATTATTGTAAAATACATAAGTACACGGAATTTTTTTTAACCATATTGATACTACAAAATATGTTATTTTTAAATTGGATGTACATACATTAGATTAAATAATAATAGATTATATATTTATTGTAATATCATTAGTTTAAGTATTGAAAATAATGTCTAACAAAACAATGCCTTCATATACTGTACGGACAATGAATTTTTCGGACAACGAAGAAGTGCAACAAATATTTGTGTCAATTGAATGGGATATGTTAAAGTACAACAATGAAATGCTGCTCATAACTGACCCAGAAGGTTCATTTGTAGCTCAAGACAATACTACAGGTATAAATACATAGTAAATATAAATAAAACTTTAATTTATATAATAATCATAATTACAGGCAAATTATTGGGAGTCTGTTGTAGTGTTAATCTGTCGCCAGAGCTGTCTTTTATATACTCTTATGCCGTGAGACCAGAGTATCAGGGATTAGGCATCGGAACCGCTCTTTGGGATAAAGCTATGAAACATATGGGCGATAGAAATGCCTCACTGTTTGGCGACAATCAGAAAGTAAATGATATTTACAAAAATAAACACAATTTTACTTTTATTCCTCAACGAAAACGGATTCAAATGAGTGGCAAACCTGTAGTCAACGGTTTGACGGATAGTATTCCCGGCATATGTTTGGTTGACATGAATGATAAGAATATCGCGGATGTGATTGAATACGACAAACAGGTCTGCGATGGACTCGACAGGAGTGCACAGCTCAGGGCACTCAACGGGCAGTTTAAAAGCATAGGTGTTGTGGCCATTAATGATTGCAAACAAGTGGTTGGCTTTAGTTTTGTATCGGAGACCCTTTCCGGGAAGAGTTTATTTATTGCCCCACTTTATGCCGATAACCAACAAATCGCTGAATTATTAATTAGAAAATGTTTACAACGGATACAAAATTATACGGCAGAAGAGATTCGCTTATCATATTGGGATTCAAATGACCAAGCTGCACAAATTGCAAATAAATTGGGATTAAAACAATACCATGAAATGCCGATTATGTTTACAAAGAAAGTGCTAAATGGACAATTGCATAAAATGTACTCGGTTGGTATTCCTGTAATTCCTACTCCGTTCTGAATAGTTTGAATATTATTTGAACGAACAGTAAATAAGATAAAAGCCATCAAATTCTATATTTTAAAAATATATAATTAATTATAAAAGTTATGTTTTATATTTAAAGTATCAAGATACTCAATACAATAGTTAACATCAAATCTAAAATTTAGTTAATAAATTAAAAATTGTAAGTTTTCATTATTAAATACCCAAATGGTTTACACATTTAACAATGTCGTATAATTGTCTTTTAAATAAAATACTAAAAACATTGAACGAGATTCACAATTAGTTTGCATATTGTTGTAAATATTTTAAAAATTAATTTAAAATTCCATTCAATATGTATTCAGAAGTTTGAAACACAAAACAAAGTATAGAAGAAATGAGTGCCAGAAGAAGACGTGTCATGAATGATGACATTTTGGGCCTTATTTTCAAGGATTTGTATCTCAAAGACTTGTTTTCATTACAACGAGTGTCACAACAGTTCAGCCGTTGTTCACAAGGAGTGCTGCGGACGAAGAAAAGAGTGAGCATTGGATTCAATGATTTGGAGAAAACATCACAATTAAGATATTTTAACCAAAACTTTGAGGCCAATGACTGGAATCGCGTAGACATTACACCAGCGATCACTTTGAAAGGCGTTGATATTGCTGTTGATTACAGACAGCATAGACTCGAGTCTATTGTCCGCCAATTCCGTGGCGTCAAGAAGTTATATCTGTCCAAAACTGTAATCAGTTTCAAGACATTAAAGCTATTTGTCTATCAGTGGCCACAACTCGAGGAACTATACACTCATGACATCAATATCTGTGGGTCGAGTGATAAGACAATCACCGAATGGACGCAACTTCTCTCAAAAGTCAAACACATAACAATCGGTAGAATTGACACAAAATATATGGCATTTATGAGAGATGTGATCAAAGAATTGCCATCACTTCAAAGTATATATATTTGGCGTTTTAGTGTCAACCCATTGAGTGCCACACCAATCACAATATCATCGCTGGCAGAAAGTTTGCCCACAAATCTGATAGAATTGAGCGCTCGTTTAGGCCCATCGGACAGTCAAACTCTGGATGCAATCACGAGTAAATGCCAGCAAATAAGGAAAATATGGCTCAATGAGTTGTCTGCGTTTACAACCGTTGAAGAATGTAATCTCTGGAACCAATGGTTTTCAATGATATGCGATCGTCTCGACGGTTTGAGAATTTTATATGTCATTTTGGGAGACATTTCTATCAAAAATTTCAGCGAAGGTATTGCAAAACTCAACGTTTTAAAAGATCTTACCATCGTTTTCGCCGGTTCTGCAAATTTACCGGTAATGTGTTTCGACACCCAATCGATGGCCAAACATATGCAGCCAATGGTGTCGTTGCGATCGTTATCACTTCGGGGACTCGACTGTTCACCAAATCGGTGGTCAAATTTAGCGGAGATGTTGCCAAATGTCCGCAAATTGAGTGTCTATTGCATGTATTATCGCGCGGATTGTGATGACGGAGAGGACTTTAATCTATGTTTCTATCGGTGTATGGATTGTGTGTCAAAAATGCCAAAATTAAAACATATTACAATCCGTAATATCATCGATGGTCACATCACAAGACACGTACTGGAAGTGTTCAATCGTATGGATCGGCTCAGCGTTGATATGGGATCTGAAGAAAAACTGATTGAAGTGTTGATACATTTTATGGTCAAAACACTGGCCAATAGGCGACGAGTATTCCGATTGGATTTAGTGCCTAAAGTGAAGCGAGAATTGATCGAAACGATGAATACAATGGATATACCAATGCCTGAGAGTGTGATTGTGGGCCATGTCTTCAGTACTAGAGATGGGGACCAATGAGTGTTTTTATCGGCGTTTCAAACTTATTTCTCCCTCTATTTCATTCATTTTTGTGAAATAAATATCATTCAAACCACGAGTTTTTAATTAAATACAAATTTTCCATTTAAATACACATTAAATCAAATCAAAATATCGAGTAAACAAAACTATTATTTATCAAAGTTTAAATTAAATTATTTATTATTATCTATATAACTGTACGCATAAACTGATGAAATTTTATAATTTCTCTCTTAAATCAATTAATATCCATAAACTATATAAGAATAACTTAGAAAACAAGTAGATTTGTTATTATCTGATATATGAAGGTTTAATTACTTTGAAAATTTATTATTATAGTACATTTCTAATTAATTAATTACAAATACTATTTTGCCATAAAATGAATGAAGTTTTTTTTAAATATCCCTAAATTGATCTTAAATTACAATTTACAAAATAATTTTTAATTAAATTTTTAATCCTATTCAAAATTCAACAATTTTTCACTTGTTTTGTATACTTTTAAAAAGTCGTTTAAAATTCAAAATGTATTAAAAGGTTTGAAAAAAATTACAAAAAATAAAGAATCGAAAAAATGAATGCCAGAAGTAGTCATGTCATGAATGATGACATTCTGTTGGATATATTCAAGCGATTGGATCTCAAAGACTTGTTTGCATTACAACGAGTGTCACAACAGTTCAGCCGTTGTTCACAACAAGTGCTGAAGAAGAAGACAGAAGTGAGCGTTGGTTTCAATGAATTGGAGACGAATTCAATAGTTACATGTTTTAAAATCAGTTTTGAAATCAAAGACTGGAATCGCATAGACATCACACCAGCGATCAGTTTGAAAGCCATTGATCTCTCAATGGATTACAACCGATACGATAGACACAAGTCTATCATTCGTCAATTCCGTGGCGTAAAGAAGTTATATCTGTCCAAAACTGTAATCAGTTTCAAGACATTAGAGCTGATCGTCAATCAGTGGCCACAACTCGAGGAACTATACATCTATGACATTGATTTCAGTGACTCGAGTAAAAAGACAATCACCGAATGGACACAACTTCTGGCAAAAGTCAAACACATAGTCATCGCAAGGATTAGAGCAAAATATGTGTCATTTGTAAGAGATATTATCGCACACTTGCCATCACTTCAAAGTTTGAATGTTTGGGGTTTGAAAGCAAAACTTTCCGATCACACCATCACTCTATCAGTACTGACCCATTGTTTGTTGGCAAACATCCAAAGCCTATACATCGGTGTCATTTCTGATGAAAGTGAGGCACTGGATGTGATCACAAGTAAATGTTCGCAAATAAACAAACTATCTATTTATGATTCTTCTATCTACGATCCAAATGCTGTTGCGTTTGATCACTGGAGACAATGGTTTGCACTGATCTGCGATCGACTCAAAGCACTCACTTATTTGACGATAACTGTGATCAACATTTCCCCCAAAGAATTGGCCGAAAATATCTCAAAACTAATATATTTACAAACACTTCGCATCAGATCCGGCCTCAATCAACACTTCCGAGAGGTGTGTTTCGACACTCAAGAGATGGCCAGATATATGCAACCAATGGTGTCGTTGCGGTCGCTATCACTGCACGGACTGAAGTGTTCACCGAATCGGTGGTCAAATTTCACCGAAATCTTCCCGAATGTCCGCAAATTGACACTCAATTTCATGTATTATCGCACGGATTGTATGGAAGGGGAGGAGTGTATTGACTGTTTCTATCGGTGTATGAATTGGGTGTCAAAACTGCCAAAACTAAAACACATGAACATCTATAATACCTTTTATGGTCAGATCACAAGACATATTCTGGAACTCTTCGCAGATATGGATCGCCTGAGCATCGATTCGGGATCGAGAGAAGAACTGGTCGAAGAGCTGATCCACTTTATGATCTTCACACTCGACAATAGGCGGCGAGTATTTCGATTAAATTTGGTGCCAAACATTAGGGAAGAACTGATTCAAAGAATGGCGACAATCGATATCCCAGTGAATGGATATGTGATTGTGGGCCATGTCTTCAGTCTAATAGATAGGTTTATCTGAATGTGTGATTTATGTATATCTCAAACATATCTGTTAGCATACAGTAAAAATTAGATTCAGTAAATATTGTAAAATCTTTAATAAATATAATTTTACATAAATTTCTTTATATAATTTTAAAAATTGTATAATTGATAGATTAATCTCAGATTTCATTGCATTTTCAATTCAAAATCTTTAAAACAATTTATACTTTTTATACAAAAAAGGTTTTCACATATAAAAGTAATTTTTTTGAAAATTAGTTTTTATATTTAAATTGAGGGCTAGGGCCTAAAAGTGTTCTCGGGGAAGTTTAGGATCTAAATTTATATATTAAATACTTGTTTCACTCTTCAAGTGGTTTAATTGTATTGAATTGAATCCAATATTTAATTCATTGTTTGCTTTGATTATTTGAGTTATACAAAAAATTATGTTACGTATGAATATTATTATCTAGATAATATATATAATAATATATATGATAATGGTAAAACAAATGCATTAATTTAATTTTGAACTAATTTTAAACAATTAATTTCTATATTTTGTGTAGTTTTAAAATTCCTCAAAAATTTTTATCAATAAATTTTTAAAAAGTAATCAAAGAATTGGAATAAAAATTAAGTGTCGAAAAAATGAATGCCAGAAGAAATCATGTCATGAATGATGACATTCTGGGCATTATATTCAAGCGATTGGATATCAAAGACTTGTTTTCATTACAACGAGTGTCACAACAGTTCAACGATTGTGTCAAAGAAGTGCTTCAGAAGAAGAAAGAATTGAGTTTTGGATTCAATGATCTGAAGAATAGCTCAATAGTTAGATGTTTTAAAAAGAGTTTTAAAGCCAATGATTGGCATCGCATAGACATCACACCAGCGATCAGTTTGAAAGGCATTAATCACACGCATGATATCAACCGATGTTATAGAGTCGTGTCAATTGTCCGCCAATTTTGTGGCGTAAGAAAGTTATATCTGTCGACTGCTGTCATCAGTTTCAAGACATTAGAGCTGATGGTGAGTGAGTGGCCACAACTCGAGGCACTCTATATCTATGGCATCGATATTTGTGGCCCAAATGATAAGACAATCACCGAATGGACACAACTCCTGTCGAAAGTAAAAGTCATAGAAATGGGAAGTATTGACACAAAATATGTGTCATTTCTAAAAGAAATTATCGCAAACTTGCCATCACTTCGAAGTGTAAATGTCTGGGGTTTGCGGCCAAACACTTCCCACCAGACCATCACTATATCATTACTGACCGATTGTTTGTCGGCAAGCATTCAAAGCCTACACATCGGTATGACTCCAGCGGACAGTCATTCACTGGATGTGATCACAAGAAAATGTCCTCAAATTAGGAAACTATCCATTTATGAGTCTTTCATTTACTCATTTTCCGGTTCATTTCATCTCTGGAACCAATGGTTTGCAATGGTTTGCGATCGACTTAAAGGACTCACTTATTTGAAGCTTATTTTGGCCAACATTTCCACCAAAGAATTTGCCGAAAGTATCCAAAAGCTAAACCACTTGCAGTCACTTCACATCAATTGCTTTGTTTATCTATATTTTAAAGTAAGTCACAGAATGTGTTTCGACACTCAAGAGATGGCCAAATATATGCCGCCAATGGTGTCGTTGAAGACACTATCGCTGCGGGAAATGAAGTGTTCACCGAATCGGTGGTCAAATATGGCCGATATGTTGCCAAATGTCCGCCAATTAAGTGTCGATTACATGTATTATTGCATGGATTGTACGGAAGGAGACCAATGTTTTGAGTGTTTCTATCGGTGTATGGATTTTGTATCAAAAATGCCAAAACTAAAACACATGAACATCTATCACACGGATGTCGGTCAGATCACAAGACATAGTTTGGATTTGTTTGCAGATATGGATCACCTGAGCATCGATTGGGGAAAGGGAGATCTGGTCGAAGAGTTGATCCATTTTATACTCTTTACACTCGACAATAGGCGACGAGTATTCCGATTGGATTTGTGTCCTCACATCAGGAGACAACTGGTCGACAGAATGGCAACAATTGGTGTCCCAATGCCTGGATGTCTGATTGTGAGCCATATCTTCATTTTAATAGATTTACAATTGGTTTGAATGAATTTGTGATTTAAATGTCATCTCAAACCGATCTCTCCACTCATTTCCTACACATTTAGCAAAATAAATATCATTTCAAACAAATAAAATTGGAATAATAAGGGTTTCAATAAATTAATATTTATATATAATGTTTAAAAAAGATTTAGGAAATATGACATTTTAAACTCGTTTAAACTAATTTTGTTTACATAATTTCAAAAATTGTGTATTAATTGTGTATTAAATTCACATTTAATTGCATTAATCTTTTCAATGCAAGTTAAAACAACTCATAATTTTTATTATATAAGTTTAATCTGAGAAATAGTATTTTGTAAATTAATTTTTACATTTATTACTTCAATAAAATTTAATTATATAATATAATTTATATTTAATTAAGTGTTTGTTTTTATTATTTAACAAAATTTACAAATAATGTTGAGTTGACTATTAAAAAATATTAATTAAATGCTAAAACAAAAACTTTTATTTAATTTTGAACGAGATTTTCAACAATTAGTTTCTATAAGTTTTTGTGATTTTAAATCTATTGAAAATTCAAAATCAACTTATTTTTGAAATGAAACCAAAGAATTAAAATAAGAATAAAGAGTCGAAGAAATGAATGCCAGAAGAAGACATGTCATGAATGATGACATTCTGTTGGATATATTCAAATATTTAGATCTGAAAGACTTGTTTTCATTACAACGAGTGTCACAACAGTTCAGCCGTTGTTCACAACAAGTGCTGCAGAAGAAGACAGAAGTGAGCGTTGGATTCAATGATCTCAAGACAAACTCAAAGATAAAACGTTTTAA